CTACAGATCCCAGTTCTCCCGTAACGGATACCACTCTAGAATAAAACTCTCTCCACAAAGAACACTAAAGCCCCAGCCACGATTCTTCTTATTTCTGGCAGCATTCACTGCTGCAAAACCTACAACAATGAGAGGATTTATACCTCCTCTTGAAGTTTATGGCAAGGAAGTATGATCTATAAATCTCAACGTCTCAAAAAATAAAGCATCTCACCCCTGGAGAAACACAATAAGCTCCTTCGGGCACTTCTCAGAGATCCGGAGACCCCCCTCGGAGCAGACCCCTCTTCTCTTGACTCCTCCTCCCCGTGCTGCGGGAGGACGGGGGTGAGGGGGCGGGGGTCTGCCCCAGAGAAGAGCGAGGAGAGGAGCTGGAGGAAAGCCACTGCCAAGACCGTTTACGCTGCGGAGCTAGTACCCTGCTCTTCAAGGACAGGCAGCGTTTCAGCAATCACAAACATTAAAAAAATGAATTTTAAAGACCCCACATTCTCACCACCCTACACAATTTACTTTTATTTTCCATGTTCCTTTTTGGTCCGTGTTAGGATACGGACTTCTATTTCCTGAGGTGTAATTTCCTTCCTTTTCCTATAACTCACCTGATGGCTGTCTCAAGTCCCATTTCCACACAGTGGAAGAAAATTTAGTTTAATTACTTCATGGTAAATGTGGCCAGTGTCAGTGATTTCTCGTTCTTTCTGCTCCGCAGCCAGTCAGTCAGGGTGCTCCCTGGACTTTCCTGCCCTCCCCAACACAGCCCCACCCTTGGTACAGGTGCTCGGGGGCCCTGGATCTTTGGGGAGAGGCTTCTAGTGCTCAGTATTGATCTGGCTCAAGCCTGTTCTTGCATCTGCTTCCTGTAACCTGGAGGACCTGAGCCTTCTCCTCTCAAACCTGTCTTCCTGTCACGTCTCCTCTATTGCTGCCACATCCTGTGATGGTTGTTTCTCTGGGTTCCCCTGGAAGCAGGGCTCAGATCCTCCAGCTCCATATCCCTGTTTGAGAGAGAGTGGGATCTGTCCTTTCTCCCTGGAATTCTGCTTGAGGACAAAGGACAGGGTCCCTGCACTGAGTCTCACACTGATTTCTTTACGCTTCTGACTTAGCTCAAAGGATCTCTACCCCATTCCCCAAATCTAAGAAGTTGACATCCTTGTGCCCTGGTTCCTTTGTGAGAGTGCCATCCTAGGAGAATGCCTGCTTCATATCTCCAGTCACAGAGAGGGGAAGGTTAACATGTGTAAGGGGAAAACTTATTTAATATTTCATAACATCAGCCTGCCACATCTGTAGTCGTCTTGTGACTGTCACTTTGCATTCGGGCCACTTTAACACACTATCAGAGGTATTTTGCTAGTCAGTCATTGTTTTTAATGGCTGCAAGAAGTTATATCCATCGTGTGGCTATAACATAATCTAGTTAACCATCCCCCTGTTATTGGGGATTTATTTCCAATTTTTAGCGATTATACATAGCATTGCTATGAGTTAGTGAGTTTTGAAAGAAAAACTTATCTTAACAAAAAGCCCGAGAATGCAGTTTTTAAAAATTGCTCTCAACTAAAGTGGATGGAGCGATTGCCTGTGTGATGGCTTGGTGCCCACTAGCTCTTCTCTTGCTTTTAAGATCATAAATAATTCTGCACATTAGGGGCTCCGGTTCTTGCCCTACGCTGACGGCTATCATTTGCTCCACCCCAGGGTTATGAGGATGCGGTGTTTCGGAAGAGGTTAGAGTCCGCAACGGCTGAGAACTGTTGTTTGCTGGGGACTGGATCGAGGGAGACTGGACATACTAGCGCATAGAAGTTCCTCTCCCTTGGCTTACACTTAGCCACAGTTTTATGGTTTGAAATTCCAGAGCCTCTTTTTCTTACAGCAGTGAAAATCTAAGTCTAATCAGTATTTTGAAGTAGTGAAAAATTAGAAACAAATGCCCACCAATAGAGAACTAGTTTAACTGTTATGGTGTGGTTGTGGAATACTGTGTCCCTGTTGATAAAAAGAAAAGCGGGCAACTCTCTATGTGCAGATATCAAAGGATTTCCAGGCTGTACTGATGAATTATAAAAAATAATATTCAAAAGAGTTCAGGTCTTTTACGTACGAGCTACCCGTTCTCCTTGCATCGCCCTGCAATAAATCTTTCTCTGCTCAAAAATAATAATAATAATAATAATAAAATAACAACAACAACAACAACATTCAGTAAGGTGTTTATAGTATTCTAACATTTGTGTAGAAGGAAGGAATACATATACATGCTTATAAATTCATAGACTATTTCTGAAGGAAGGTAATATGAGTTGCCCTTAGGGAGGGGAAACGAAGGCTGGGAACAAAGGGATGAAAACGAAGTTTTTTTCATCATATAATCTTCTACCTCTGAAGGTTTGTACTATGAGCATATATTATCCATTACAGAATGTAATTTATTTAGTGGTTCCTCAAAAGCTAAACATAGAATAACCATATAATCCAGCAATGCCATTCCTGGGTAAATACCCGAAAAAAAAAAAAAACTGAGGACGGGGCTGAGAGACTACATGCCCACATTTACTGCAACATTATTCACAACAGCCAAGAGGTGGAAACATCACAGGTGCCTGCCCACAGATGACTGGATGAACAGACCATAGTCTGTATGTACAATGGATATTATTCAGCCATAAGAAGGAAGGAGATTCTGGCACAGGCTACGTACGGCATGAATCAATCTTGAGGATGTTACAATAAGTGAAATAAGCCAAACACAAAAGGACAAATATAGTTTGATTCCACTTAGATGAACTATCTAGACCAGGCAAATTCCTAGAAACAGAATGTAGATTAGCAGCAACCAGAGGTCGCAGGGAGGGGAAATGGGAAGTCACTGCTTAATTATCAGAGTTTCTGTTTGGACTCATGAAAAAGTTTTGGAAATAGAGATCATGATGGTTGCACAACATGTGAAGGTAATTTGTAACACTGAATGGTACACTTAAAGATTGTTGAAAGATTGCAGATTTTATGTTACATATATTTTACTGCAATAAAAAAATTCAAAGAAAATGTAGTCTAATTTGAAGAGAAATGTCCTGTTTAACCTCTTGTCTACCAGAGGTTTCCAGAAACATTCTTCCAACCTGACCCCATCCTCCCAAAGCAAATAGTGCCAGGTGCATACTGTGTGCGGGGGTCCTCTGTTGGGCACTGCCCAAAATAGAAAGATATGTGCACGAACGCCCTGTGCTTCAAAAGGGCTCATCGCATAGCCTTGCCAGCAGGTGTGCCTGTCACTAGCGTGTAAAGCGAAAAGGGTGCCAGGGGAGTGCAGAGGCAGGACAAACCAATTTAGACTGGCTCATTCAGGACAGCTTGAGCGGGGAAGAGGGATCCTACGAAGCAGAGAGGGGCCCTCGGGGCTCAGAGGGTGGATGAGCTAGGTTGGCTGACCTGCCTTACTAGGGGTGGACGTCTGTGCACTGGGCGGTGGTCTCCAGTCACTGCGGTATGCGTCTGCAAGGATCAGACTGAAGGGGATTCTGTACAGGCAGTCGAGGCCAGATGGTGTCAGTTCTTAAGTGTGGAAGTTGTTTGGACTTCTCAGTACTGGTAGGGAAGCAGCTTAGGTATTCTTTCTGTTCGTCTTCCCACTATCCTGTTTACCATCTAGGAATGCGAGCCTCTTACCCTTATCTGACAGAAAAGAGTTTACATTAAAAAAATTTTTTTCCAACTCAAACTCTGTTTGCCATCTAGTGATTAATCCATGCCATTACAGCACCCTAGTTCAGAGCCCTCGTTTCTCACAATGCAGTTAAGCTCACAGGCTTCCAGACTCGTGCTGTTGGCCGTTGGCTTCTGCCTGGAACTGCACTTGCCCTGTGTCCTGATACAGCACGTTGGCATCAGATACCTCAGTGATGAAATCTGACCCCTCTGACTAGTAATAATATTTGACTGAAAGAGCAATGTAATTGTTTGGAAGAAAATGCACATTAGAAATGAAGTGTCATAGAAAGTTTAAGTAGGTTCTGATTTGAAAATGATCCCATAGCAGCCTCTTCGTGTGGATGTAGACTTCTCAGATAAGCGGGCGAGAGTCTGACCGCAGTGGGTACCACAGCCATCTCCGGACTTTCTCTTCTTCCTGTGTGTCTTCTAGAGATAAGGACATTAACAGCCCAGCCTCCAAAGAGGCAATACTTATTTGAAAATTATTCTCCAAATTTCTGACTTTCTGAATGCAGATCAAAGTAAGAAGCTGCACCTTCTTCTTCTGTTTGTTACGTCATTGAGTAGCAAAGGCCATTCAAAGGCTTTTCTTTTAAAGGTTGTCGCTAATCATTTGGGAGAGTGGGCCAAGAAATATTGTGTTATATGTGCAGGAGATTTAAAACTCAACATGAGTCACTCAGAATTCCTGAAGGGCCCAAGGTAACATTTTGCATCTGAACCAGAGTTTTCAGAGATGAATCAGAGTTTCTAAACAATGATAATTCCTGCATTGGAAAATGTCCTGGGTCCCCTGTGTCTTTTTGCCCCTGAGATCTGGGCTGTGGGAACTCATTTACTCAGTAATTATTAACCAAATGCCTACTATTTGCTGAACTCTGAGCTAAGTCCTGTGGCTATAACTTGTTATATATAAAACTGTTAAGATAACACTTTTTCAAAACTTTGTTATAACTGCTCCATTTTCCATGAGACCCAAGCAAGGCTTTCTCACAATGGATTTGTCCTAGGAAGGATTATGCTGCAGAGAGATAGTGGTTACATTTCTTCCTTTACTGCCAAGTTCAGCTTATTTTTCAGGTTGCTATGAACTGTTAGCCTGGATTACAGCTTCTGGCCTCCAATCCAGCAGCACCCTCTTCCCCTCAAAGCCTGGAATGTGATAGAATGTATTGTAGGAAGCCATTCACTCAGTCTCTTAACGCCATGTGAACTGCTTGGCTGTCGTTTTTCACTGTGTCCTTTTTTTTGGTGAAACGCTCTGCATCTGACTTTTGCAGGGAAGGCCAGAGATACCGGGTGTACGTTGTGATACCACTTCTTCCAGGTTTTGAAGGAGACATTTCAACTGGTGGAGGAAATGCTCTGCAGGCGATAATGCACTTCAACTACAGGTGCCAAAGTTCTAAAATCACCGGTTTTCAGCTTTCAGTCAGTCACGTATGTAAGCTGGTGAGAGGAATGGAAATGCTTCTCCACATCTATCCAGTGAAGTGTTGAGCAGATGGACAGTTTTCTTCATTTTACTTTTGAATCTTGGCCCATTTATTAATTGATAAAATTCAAATAGAGCCCAAAATCATAAATGGTATGGCTAACACACGGCAAGTGTGAAAGAGCTAAAATATTAGTCTCTCTTGTACACTCATTGCCTGTCATATGTATATATGTAGAGAGAGAAAGTGCTTGTCTTCATTTATAAAATATATATACCCAATATATATGAATATAAAAAGACTAATATTTTAGTTCTTTTTTATATATTTTTATATATATTATAAATGGAGACAAGGACTTTAGCATCAATATATAGATATGAATCCTTTATGTATAATTCATTTTTAAAGATAATTTAAAAATTACTTTGAAGCCACCAAACAGTTACTGAGCTTTCCTTCCTCTCTGGAGCATGTAGATAAAAGGAAGAATTAAATACTTGAAATGGCACGGCTTGCCCGTGTTGGTTTATGACTGTTTTAGGCAGCAATCCTTCAGCAAGGTTGGTAATAACAGTCCCTGCTACTAAGTGAAGCATGAAGGTTCTTCCCTGGCTCCTGGAATTTTAATTCTGTTTTCACAACCACCTCTCGGTTAAAATTTTAGGGAAAGTGGTAAGTCCCATTCTCAATATTCTGAAGAGCAGAGTTTCCATATTCACAGAGAAAGGCATATGAGGCTTCAGACGTGGCCAGTGGAGGATCATGAAGGGGGTTGAGAGCAGATGGGCAGGTGCAGAGAGGTGGGGTAGAAAGTGATGGGAAGGCACCCCTGACCTTCTCTCTGGGCCACTTAGCCGGGAAGAGGAAGGGGATGGATCCGGCGTGAATCCAGCTCCTGGTGACAAGCTCTGTGACCTGAGATACAGATGAGCCCTACTCAGGACCACAGCCTTCATTAAGTCGGAGCAAGGACTAACACCTGGATATTTTCTCGTAATAGCCTGTTTTTCAGAACTACCTATACTTCCATACCTCCGTAATCAAGCCCCCTTGTGGGAGGGGACAGATGAGATCTTACCCAGAACCCCCAGTGTGTAACATAGACAAGCATGCAGGGCCTTGGCCAAATTGGGGATGGGGGCTTAGAAGCCCTCCTGCCGGGGGCCCCCTCCCTAGAGGCACCTCCGCAGGATCTGAGGGTCCTCTAGGCACAGTTTGAATGCTCCACAGTGGTGGAAATCTTTTTTTTTTTTAATCCTCTTGTTTCTTTCTGACTTTTTAAGTAAAGATATTTTGTTTCTTCTTGGGTAATTTTGCCTGGTTACAGTATGGGGGAACTTTGTGCTTTGGTCTTTAAACTTGGATTGACGATTTGCCCATTTCTAATATTATCTGATTTGTAACATGACAAACAAACCTTTTCAAGTATTTAAGGCACTGACATAATGTTTAATTGGATTTTATCCACTTCATTTGCCATGCTAATATTATTTTTGGAATACTGTCAATTGTAATTCTTTTCTATGACTATTTTCTTGGGTTTGAACCAGTTGAATGAAATAACATGCTTGGCTCTTGCTCAGCATCCAAAACTATAACCTTTTATTATGCAAAAACATCTCTATTTGCTGGCATCATCTTTAATAATATCCGCATTTCCCTGGCATAACTGTATTTTTAATTACTTCCATAGAGCAAGCAGATGGAGCTTAGAACTTTTTGTTTTGTCAGTCTTTATAATTCGTCGACTACTGTCAGAGTCTTGAGAGACAAAATCATTAGCGGAGTCAGTCATCTGAGACATATTTTTCACTTTTAAGGGGTTGGCTGACCTTACAGAGACAGCTCAGATAGTATGGTTTCTTTAATTCCAAAAGTACGCTTTTAAGCTTGCCCTTTTCACCTCTGAAAGCAATGTGATTCTGTAAGTATTCTTATCTTTTGTGGCATTCTAAATTTATCTTTGCGGCTGCCGAGTTTTCTAAGAAGGAGAGCTCATTCAGAAGCCATCTTTTAAAAATAACATCTCTTTCTGAAATCTAACATCGGTCTTGTAAGTTTTTAATTTGCCCACTTCAAAACAACTACCTTGTCCTATCAGTAACATCACAAACGTGATATTCTTGGGGTTTTTTGTTTTTAAAAATACCTATGTGGCATCTTCTTGTAGAAGCACTTGTTCTATTTTTACTTGTATTAAGACTATACCCCACAGATACTGCAACTGGGACTGGTTCCTTTGAAACCTCCGTAATTATTTATTTCCTTTACATATGTTCAGAACCATGTGCAGAGGAGAAAATTCCATCCTTGGACAGTTAAGAACAGAGCGTAAGTAATTGCTTTTCTTTTCCTCCATGGTTGATTTTGGTGACATATCAGTAATTATTAATGTTTCTGCAGTGTGATTATAGAACTCTTCACAAAAGGTAGCCCACAAAATGCTTAACAGAAATAAACTAATTATTCTCAATAAATTGCCCAAGTATATATTTAAATGAAGACACTATGGCGTGAGATGCATAGGTGATAAAAATGAGAGTGTTTTTACAATTTACTTTTATAATTTATTTCTATTTATTTGTAATATTTGTTTTGATAAGAAGTGGGATTTGTAAGGCACTTCAAAATGAACCCCCACGTATCTTCTCCTACGATCCTTCACCACGTCCTGGAAGTAAGCAGGACAGCCATCCTCCCTGCACTAAAGATGAGGACACGGTCAGCATGTATTCACGTGGCCTCCTATAAATGTAGAAGCCCCAGGGTTCTCACACACTGTCGTATTTAGGGAAGAAAACTGATCATGTAGCCATTTTGCCACCATAACACTTGATTAAATCTTTGAGGGTATTATACTGGAAGTAAAAAATAAGAAAAAAACCCAGTAATACTTTCTGCAATTCTTCATATTTTCAAAGGCACTTTCTCAGATATCTTCTTAATTCATCCTTCGGCATAGTTCTTAGCTACAGTACACTGTAACTATGGGTTTATTGACCTTTATCTCTGTGAACTTACTCTAAGTTTAGCACATAGTAGGTGCCCAATAATGTTCTATACCCTGAACGGTAGACACAGAAGTTTCCACAAGACTAAGCTGGAGAAAGAACCCAAGTTGTCTGACCTCCAATTCAGATATGGTCCAGATTGTGAAAATTTGAAGACCACATTGAAAGACTAGATTTTATCCAGAAAAGGACAGTTAAGGTGATAGAAGCCTCTGATCCCTGGATTGGAGTCATCAAAATGGTGTTTGTGTGAGGATTCACTTACTGTTGGTAAGCAGAGTAGAGGGGGACTGGTGGCGGGTGAGAGATCATGGCACAGTGGTAGTGGAAAGAAAGGTCATATATGAATAAAACTGGGAAGGAACATTTGAGGGGGTGTGGGAGCAGCAGAGTAAGAGAAATGTCAGGTAATCCTAAGCGTTTCAACCCAAGTGACCCGGAGAATGGAGCTGCCACAGGGGGTTCTGGAAAAGTCAGGGGGAGCCATTGCAGTCACAGGATGCCATGTGGTGTGGTGGTCACGGATGCTGTAAACCTCCACTGAGTTTTTTGAAAATTTTATTTTACACTAGTAGCCTCCTAAATGGAGTGCACTGGATGATGTATCAGAATGTGGACAGAAAAAAATTAGTTCTTCCGTGTATGTATATTTTTCCTTAAAAATAAAGAATTAGAACATCTGCAGGAAAGGCATAGAAAATATCCTCCAAAATCCACTTCTATATAAAAGCAACAAAACCTTAACAGAAGGTGCCCAAAATTAACTTCTCCAGAATTCTGGAAATTAACGAAAGGCTTATAACAATAGGAGTGTTTATTCAAGAAAGACAGCATAATCTTGGTCAAAGTAGCAAGCCTTTTTATCTGCCATATACCCATCTCCTTCAGAAAGAACTTTGGCCATAAGACATCTACATCACCAAGAATAAATACTTTCAAAAGTTGTATCTAATTGTATCCAGGACAGAGAAGGTTTTCAGAGCATTATCCCAACCTTTATTTCCTGATGGCTTAAAATGAAGCTGATAGTGAGTGAATACGGCTCTAAAAGATATATTGATAAAAACAATATCAGCAAAGTCATTCAGTAATGACAGTGGCTAGTAAAAATGCAAAGGTAGGGTTATAGGAGAATAAAAAGTCAGAGCAAACCTATTATTTAGTTTCTCAGCTGTAAAATTGTCCTGAGCTTATTAGAAAGCGTTTCCTTTGGCTCTGAACCCTTTTCCTGCCTTTGCCTATTCAGGGGAGAAATTGGATTTTAACACGAGAAGTAATTTCAGTGTTAAGCCCTCTTACAAAAGGATTTCCAAGTACCCTGGGAACAAGTCAAAATCAGGCATCTCAGTGGGGAAAACGTTCATACTCCAAACGTGGAAGAACAGATTAATTACATAACTGCCCCCTTTTGAGATACAATGTGTTGTTGGTTTTGTTTTTATAAATGTGTAGTGGGTTTTAAATATATGAACTAGCTGATCTCTAATTGGATAGAGAACTATAGTCCTCTACTGTTTCAATTCTTTAGAAATAACAAAAACGCTGCTATGAATCTGCTGAAGTTCCTGAAAAGAAAACCAGCTGCAATTAGGATATAATTTTCTGATACTCCAGTCTTCAGGGCTTTAGTGTTTAATTTAAAGCATTTCTTTATCATTTTTATAATTTTTGAGAATTATGGCCTGTTAGTAGCCAATTTAGTGTAATTTAACACAAAGTCTAGAGGTATTCAATCAGGGTTAGAAATGTACGTCCAGAAAGTGCTCCTTTAAGCCACAAAAGCCTGTGACAACAACTCTACAAGTCCTCTCACCACATTTCCTTATAAACAGCGAGTCTGTCATATCGAAGTTCTCATCTTTCAAGACATATGTGTACTACTGCTCACGATAGATATGTCCTAGGGACCTATATAAGCCTCCAGCTTCTCAAATGCCCCCATGACATGTAACCTGGAACCCTTACGATACTCCTCTGTCTACTGCTTCTTATTAATAGCTGCACATGCTCCTGACTTTCTCATATTTTCTTCGAAGGCAGGTGTTTCAGTATAGCCTCATGCCACAAGTTATCACCAACTCTGTATTCATTACTTTCTGAGCCAGTAAGTACAGTCAGCCCTCTGTATCTGCAGATTCCACATCCACACATTCAACCCACCACAGACCGAAAATCTTTGAAAAGAAAAAAGAATTCCAGAAAGTTCTGAAAGACAGAACTTGAACTTGCCAGAGCGGACAACTGTTTTCATAGCATTTACACCGCACTTACAACTATTTGTGTAGAATTTGCACTGCCTTAGGGATTATAAGCAATCCAGAGACGATTTAAGGTGTGAGGGAGGATGTGCCTAGATCATATGCAAAGATTACACCATTTTTATCTAAGGGACATGAGCATCAGTGGATTTTGGTATCTGATGGGGTCCTGAAATCAGTACCCTGGGGACACTGAGGGACGGCTGTACTGGCCGAAGAAGTTTCTGAATTTTCTTCTCTCCAGAGTGTGCAGTGGGTCCATTCACCTCATAGATGGGCACCTACAGTGCACTTTACAGGCCACAGTCACCTTAATTTTCTCTTTTCTGGCTTGGAACCCTTATCTTTCTTTTGGCCCCTGTTTCTGGTACTAACCCTTAGCTTTCTTCTTAAAGGCATTTTTCATAAAGAAATTTTTTTTATTGCTTCATAAGAGTTATTTTGTAGCAAGGGTGAAGGGGACTAGGTACCGGCTGTGGGCTGTGAGGCTCGCCTGCTAACTGATGTGTTGCTGAGTCTGTCCAGACCTGCTGTGGGATGCCCCAAATCTGTGCCCTAGGAAATGACAGATTATTACATTTTAAGTCTTCAGGCTGCTAACAGCCAGTCAGTAGCATTAAGCTTTTAAAAATATATTTTTAAATAATTTCAGACTTATGGAAGAATTTCCCGAACTGCCATGTACCCTTCATCCTGATTTCCCAACTGTTAGCATTTTACCTTCTTTGCAATCTTTTTTTTTTTTTACAAAACTTTCATGATCTTGATATTTTTTAAGAGGTACAGTTATTTTGTAAAAAAAAAAACCCCTCAATCTGGGTGTATCTGTTGTTTCCTCATAGTTAGACTCAGGTTATGCGTTTTCAGCAGGAATATCTCAGAAGTGATGTGTTTTCAAGCACCATGTCAGGAGGAACACGATGTTGATTTGCCCCATTACTTGTTATATTAACTTTGATCCCTTAAGGAAGGTGGTATCTGCCAGGTTTCTCCACTATCAAATTACCATTTTTCCCTTTGTAATTAAACATTTTGTGGGAAAACACTTTGAGTCTATACAGTAAATATCCTGCTTCTTATCAAACATTCACCCCTGGTTTTAGGATACGTTAATGATTCTTCCCACATCAATTATTACTACTACGATTCAATTATTATTCCTGTGATAGTTGCCAGAAATTGGTGTTTTAGTTCCATCCCTTCTTCTATGTTTATTACTTTCTTCTAAATTTCTTAGCTGGAATTCTACTGTAAGAGAGTTTTCCTTCTTCCCCACGTATGTGTTTATTCCTGTATGGACCCTGGATTCTTATGTTATTCAGTGGGTTATAATTTTGATGTTCAGTGAGGGCCTTTTTAAGCTTGCTCCCATGTGCTTTTGACGTGTCCTCATCAGCTTTTCTTTCTTACAAGCACAGCAAGAATCTCACATATCTCATACATTCCCAGAACTAGCCCTGGAATCAATCGTTTCTCCAAGGAACTGAGGTTCTTTTAGTGGAAAATGGCATTTACAAACCAAATTCTGGGTACAAAATATGATCATTACTACTGGGATATCACTGCTTTGGGCCTTTTGTGTGCACATTGTCTATCCGTCTGTCTATCTGTCTAATCTACCTATCCATCCATCCATCTTCATACTGATACCTACATTTCCAGTCCCATGCCACAGGATTCCTTCTTACTCTCTCTCTTTCTATTTTTATAACTTCTTTCTCTCACAGTGAGAAATCTGGCTTCTGTTACCTATTTTATAAATATAATGTATATATATATTCCCTCAATCTTATAATACATAGAAAATAACTTCAGAATTGCTAGCCCATGCTACTATGAAAAATAAATCTCACTAGAATTCAGTATTTGTTTACAGTTCTTTTTGTCTTTAGCCTACCCTCATGGTATACACTCAAAAGTCAGTGTTCAAACTTTACGTGGATTTTGTTATTAATATGAAATACAGATAGGTTCATTTGCGTCAGTCTGTATTTCTTTTTAGGCTTTTTTCTATCTTTCTTGATTTTTTGAGTGTGTGCAGTAAATTTCCAATAGTCAGAACTATACAAAAGCCATACTTAGGTTTCAGTTTCTTCCCCACCCATCTTTTCCACCCTGTCCCACTGGTAACCAATTTTCTCAGTTTCTAAATTATTCTCACTGTGGGTTTTTTTTGCACAAATGAGGAGATACATATATATTTTCTTATTTCTCCCAGTCTCTTTCATAAGAATAGCATACCACATATTCTCTCGTGCATTTGCTTTTATTCATGTAACACTTTGTCCTGGAAATCACTCCATATCAGTTTATAGAGATCTTCATTCCTTTGCACAGTCTTCCATGTATAGATTTGCCGTAGTTAATTCAGTCATTCTCCTCTGTATGGGCATTTAGGTTGTTTTCAGTATTTTTCAACTGCAATTATGCCATGAATAACTTTGTGCATATGTGTTGATATTTGTTGGAAGTGTATATTTAGGATAAATTTCTAGACTGGGAGTGCTTGGTCAGTAGGTAAATACATAGGTAGTTTTGTTAGATATTGCCAAACTACCCCCCAACCAAAAAAAAGTTTGCACCAATTTGCATTCTTACCTCCAATGAAAGAGAGTGCTTGCTCCAAGCACTCTCTTTTTGGACAATCTCATAGATTAAAAAATGGTTTCTCAGAATAGTTTTAGTTTGCGTTTCTCTTATTAGGAGTGAGGATGAATATCTTTTCAAACTGGTTTTTTTGGTGTGTGTGAATTGTCTGTTCATGTCTTTTGCCCATTTTTCTATCTAGATTTTGATCTTTTTCTCAATTCAGTTATTGACTTCTTTATATGTTAGGACTCTCAGCTTTTTATCTATAACATATACTGCAAATACTTTCTCCCTCTTTGTCATTTGTCTTTTGTTTTTGCTTGTGATGTTTTGTGTCATGCAAATATGGTTTTTAAAAACTTGGCCAACATTAGTGATCTTTTCTTTTATTGCCTCTAGATAGTTACATGCCTTCCCTACACTCAGGTTACCAGGAATTCACCCTGTTTTCTTCTAACACTTGTATGGCTTCATATGATTAGAGTTTATCACTGATTTATTTGGAGTTTAGTCTTATGACTGCTGGGAGCAATGTATGTAATTTTTATCTTTTTTCAAATAGCTTTGTAATAGTGCTAGCGCCTTTTATTTAAAAGCCCTAGTCCTAGTCATTTGAGAGGCCACCTTTATCATATGCAAAATTTCCATACTTATTTGGGTCTGTTTCTGGACTTTCTATTCCATTCACTGATTTGGCTGTCTATTTATGTACCAGTTCTGCACTGTTTTATACAGACTTTACAGTATATGTTAATATCAGATAGGGCTAATGCCCCCTCATAACCTTTCTTTTCCAATTTTTTTCATAGTCATTCTTAGATGTTTATTTTTCCATATGAACTGTAATGTTAGGTTTTCTAGTTCCATAAAAATTTGTTGGTATTTCTACTGAGATTACATTAAATATATAAAATAACACTGGGAGAGTTGGCATCTTTTTAATGAATTGTTCTATCCCAGAACAAAGGATGTCTTTTCATTTGTTGAAGTCTATTCTTATGTCTTTTGATAGCCTTTTAAATTTTCCTTCATCATGCTTTTGCACATTTATTGATGTTGATCTTTAAGTGTTTTATCTTCTTTGTTGCCATTGTAAGTGAGATTTTGTGATTATATCCTCTAAATGGTTATTGTTTGTACATGAAGGCTATTAATTTCTATATGTTAATTTCTATCCTGTCACCATACTTAATTCTCCTATTGTTTGAGACAGGTTTATCTGTCATTCCCTGAGTATACTATCATATAATCTGCAAATGGAAGTGGTTTTACTTATGTGATTTTTCTTGTCTAAATGCATTGACTGATACTTCCAAGGTGATGTTAAATAGTATTGAAGATATTATAGATACACACATATACATATACATTATACATACATAATCTACATGTATTATGTATTTTTTAGCATATTAAGAAAGTATTCATCATTTCCTGCTTTCTTCATTGTATTTATCAGGGGTGGTTGCTGAATTGTGTCAAAAGCTTTTCAACATCTATTGAGATAATCATTATGATATTTCTCCCTAGATCAATCAATATTGTGTTTCATATTAATAGATTTTCTTCATATTGAGCAAACTTGGACCCCTGGAGTGTGTGCAAGGACTCACATGGTCATAGTGCATTGTTTTCTGAATGTGTACCACTAATCTTAAATCTGTAAATACCAAGGCTCAATGACAGTGTCATTCAGAGTGATATCCCCTAAGGCACTTATTGAATTACAGATTTCTACTGAATCGGAATCTCTGGGAAGTGTCCCCAGATTCTGCTTCTGGCAGGTCCTCACAGAGGCAATTCCTATGCATTCTGAGAACCACTGGTCTGCTATATGTTCGATGTAGTTTTTTATGGACGTTACCGTAAATTTTTATTTATTTTAGCAAAAGATTTGCTCTATGATTCCTTTAAAAAGATGTTTTATGTCTTAAAATTTTAGATCATGAACCAGCTGCTGAAAAATAGATGATACCGAGAAACCAAAAGCTAAAATATTAGCTGCCACCTGAATATTCTGTCTGTTCTCTATTCACCCATTTATTCACCTTTTTTTTAGCATTGTGCAAGTATTGAAGACACAAAGTGTAAGACTTTAATGACAGTAGGAGAAATGAAGGATTAAATAAATATTTGTAAAATAATATATTAGGCATTATATTAGAAACATTTTCCAGGAATTTTATGGACATGAAGAACTTAAAAGAGGAAATGCTCCTTTCTCCTGAATCAGGGAAGACTTTAAAGAGGAGGCAATGCTTTAGGTGAAGGCCTCTTTCCAATATAACATTATCAAATGGAGAAGATACTGATTTGCAAAAATCTCATGTACATGAAACTTTTTAGAAATGCATCTCTTACACATGCTGTACTAGTGCAGCAACACATCATCTTTTGGCCAAGACAGTTACAAGATCATATATATATGAGGGGTTGTCTGTAAATGGAGGAACCTCTGTGTATAACCTCTAAACACATTTCACTCCAAAATACCTAAATTTGATAGATACACTGAGTAACATCAACAGTAAAATAGGAAGCATCAGTAATACATGGAAACCTCAGTAAGTGACACATGAACTACTATGGGTTTTATTAGTATGCTTCAGATTCTCTTTAAAATTTTATGTTCTCTTCCTATTAGAATCTGTGATGGTTTGGTTCCACTCCATTTATTCTTAGTATCAGATTTTGCTTATCCAGGACAACTGCTGTGTGGGAGAGGGACCATAAAATCCTGTGACTAACACTCATGCCAGGGTAATGATTATGAGTTGGTTTGAAATGGACTGCATTTCTTCTTATCACATAAATGACCCTCACATGATGAGAGGACATTTTATAGTACAAACCTGGTACCGCTTGCTCTGAAAAAATTTCCCCAAAGTCAAATGTATGCAGGATTCTTTCACTCCCTAATTTTAATGATTTAGAAGAAGCGTTATTTAATTGCCAACATTTTTATTTACACGAAGTCTGTGAAATTAAACTGCTGCTTTGTGCTGAATATGCTACAAACTGTGTTCATCAGGTAGTTTGGGCTCACATCTTGTAGCAGGGGTCATCCAAGACAGAAGTAAATGTCACACTGAAATCTTGGGTTATCTACTGCGACTACACGTTAATTCACTCTTCAGGAGTTACTCACCAAGCCATCAAAATAAAATATTCATATTTGAATTTATTTTTCGATTGCCTCAGCAAAGGGAATTCATAGAAATCACATCAATATGATTTTTAAAAATCGTATACCCATCCGTGTTAATGGTATAACCCTCTTCAGAAAGCAAAAATAGATCCTAGGTGTATTCTGAAACTATACACACATACAAACACACACACAGTCTATTCTTAACAACCTGTTTAAGTAGTATATTTGTTTTGAAAAACAGTAAAATTTCATGTGCCTTTATTGAGCGTGGTCATATTAATTTTAGTGATTTCTTGTTTAACTTACAGTTGGCAATCAGTGGATAAATTACATATCCTTCTGTGGTCTTAGAACACATGCAGAGCTGGAAGGAAACCTGGTCACCGAGCTCATCTATGTCCACAGCAAGTTGCTAATTGCTGATGACAACACTGTTATTATTGGTAAGTACTTGGTCTCTGTGTTCCTCGCTAGTTGACTTACCTCATGCAAAAATCTTTCTATCCATTTCCTTCTTGTAACTTTCTTTTTTTGTCCTAGTTTTGAGTAGGTACAGACATTACATTATTCTTTTTAAC